CTCACAAGAGGAGGGATATGCAATCTCAAGGCTTTCTTAGTTGTCCTGCAGAGTTACAAGTTTGCATCACAGTCTAAAGCCAATATTCCTAACAGCATGTGTGGATATGTAAATTGATAGATTGTAAGTGAAAAACAACACAGAAATTACTTAGTTCTGGCTATAAACCCAAGTGCGGTTCCATGAAAACTGACCCTGAGAAAAGATGCACAGATTGGTTTATACTACTTGATATAATATTAGAGATACAAAGATGTAACAGTATTCTGTATTTGACCCATCATTTGTATCAACTAGATAAGACTTGTTTCAGATTTCATTTCTGGTTAGATCTAAATTTGACAGTTCCAAATAAATACTATTGCTGACAATGTTGACTTGCGGCAGCAATATCATATCTACTTCTCATACGTCTTGAGGTGAAACTTAACCAATCTGTATTGAGCAATAACTCTCTCCAATGGATATTTTATTTAGGCAGCATCAATATTGAGGCTGGGGATGGAAATGTTTATTTGAAACCCGACTGTATTACAGAAAGTCCTCGACTTGCAAACATTTGTTTAGTAATCATTCGAAGCTACCAGCACAAAAAAAAAAGTGACTTATGACAAGTTTTCACACTTATGCTTGCTGCAGCATCCCCATCATCACATGATCAGAATTCAGGCACTTGGCAACAGACATGTATTTATGACAGTTACACTGTCCTGGGGTCATGCAATCAATCACCTTTGTAACCTTCCCAGCTGGCTTCCGACAAGCAAAGTCCATGTGGAGAGCCAGATTTACTTAACGACTATATGATTCACTTAACAACTGCCGAGGATGCCGAGGTGGCGCAGTGGTTAGGGTGCTGTACTGCAGCTACTTCAGCTGACTGCTAGTTCAGTAGATCAGCGGATCAAATCTCACCGGCTCAAGGTTGACTCAGCCTTCTTCTGAGATGGGTAAAATGAGGACCCAGATTGTTGGGGGCAATATGCTAATTAGTATACTGTCTTTGGTGTAAGCTGCCCAGAGTCCTTGGAGAGTGGGCGGCATAGAAATATGAATAATAAAATAAATAAACTGGGGAAAAGTCATAAAATGGGAAAAAACTAACTTAACAACTGCCTTGCTTAGCAACAGAAATGTTGTGGTCATAAGTCAAGGACTGCCCGTACTGATGTACAAACAAAAATATGTATGCTTTTGTTTCAGGTCGCTAATAGTTACTATGCTGATTAAGCGAGCCTATATATTGACTAATTATAAAATGAGCTATATAAATGGTCAATAGAATTAGGGGAATGGAGATAGGTGGGTTGAGGAGTTAATATTTAATAGCAGCATCAACATGAAACAATGAAGAGGTCACTGTTATAAAAAATGATATATTTTGATTTAGAATAAGTAATAGTTTTAGTACAAGCTTACTAAAGTAGCCATATAATTTGATTATAGACATATGGAGCACAGTTTATGTGGATTAATTAAATTGTTGCCTATTTAACATATATACATACATAGCATATGTTTATATGTGTACATGTATGAGTGTGTGTGTATATGTGTGTGTATTCATACACAGACAGATAGACAGACACACTCATATTCTTTGGAGAGCTGTCATCAGAATTTCATTTTTTAATGCATGCCAGTGTGTTCACAGAAAAAAAATCTTATCATTTCATTTGATTCTTATTCTATGCAGGAATACAGTATTTATGGCTGGTTCTTGCAGTTAAGATCATTGCAGCATGCTCAAGGTCATGTGATCAAAATTTGAGTGCAAACTTGTGACCTTCCCAGCCAACTTCTGACAAGCAAAGTTAATGGGGGAAGCTGGATTCACTTAACAACCATGGGATTCACTTAACAACCATGGCAAAAACAATAGGTAACATGGGGCGCAGCTCACTTAACCACATTTTGGTTGCAATTGTGGTCACAAGTTGAGGACTACCTATACATATTTTTGCATCACTTTTTCCCCTCCAGGCTTCCTACAAAGTAGAAGAGAGTCAATCAGATTTCCAATCCATTACTTCAGGGCAAAGCAGAGGGTGTTATTGGGGCAATTCCATCAACCTCATTTTAAAAACAATTAGTTCCTTTTAATAATTTAAACAATGCAGCAAAAAGATGAACAGAGGTAGATGCAAGCATTTCGGATTGACTCATCAGTGCCTACATTACAATAATTACAGCTGTCAGCCTCTTTGATGCTTGCTTGCTATCGGCTGCCATAGTAACCGTGAGGGGGGCAGATTGGCATTTGGGTGGGGAAGTGAGCTGGAGTGAAGACGGCCTGTGTGCGCAACTGGAGTTGTTTATGCCCAGTCAAGGTCAACCGTCCTGGAATACCAGATGGACAAAAACACCCGAAGATGTGCCCTACATGATACCATATGGGATGGGGACTGGACATTCAGCCTGGGTCCTTGGGGGGGGAGGGATTTGGGGAAACTTTCAATAGGTAACTTTTGTGCCTTTTGCTTCAGATCTTGCTTTTCTTTCGTTGCTATCATTTCAAACTCAGTAAAAGTTCCTCTTCTCTACAAACATGGAGTTGGTGGTTTTCTTTCTCGAGTTCTGAATGGAGGCAAGCCTGATAACAGCTTTATGACAATCTACGCCTCCCGTGGGTGTAAGGCTTGCCATTGGTTGCTTTCCTGCATACATTATAGGCTTAATTAATGCTCTTGCTAGGTCTTATATTTGAGGCTGACTTCAACCGTGTTATTGTAACGTAGGTACTCATGAGTCAATACGAAATGCTTGCATCTGTCTCTGTTCATCTTTTGGCTGTATTGTTTAAACCTCACTTTACTTCACTGCAGTTTACTTATTTGTCAGTCTCCCCGTAATTCTCTGGTTCAATCACTTTCCCCTCAGTACCTGCTGGTTGCCCAGTCATGGCAAGAGGCTCTTTTCTCCTCTCTGGAACTCTTTCTGAATGTGTTACCCATGTTTCCTTATTTCAGTTTATTTTAATTTGGGAGATGCTGAAATGGGAGGAGGGACAGACCTCCCCACCATCTCCATTTGTCCTGTGGTAGTATATTACAGAATGTTCCCCCCCCCCACTTTCTAATATGCCAAAGTGGGAGATGAGCAAACCCAAAAGGAGAAAAAAATAATTCCTTTGTCTATAGTGATTAGTGCACAAACAAACCAGGACAATATGATTTGGCAGTGACCTGGAATAGCTGCAACAGAGCCAAAGTAGGAACTGATAATGCAAGAACTCTTTTAGTACTATTGTCTTGTTTTATCAAAGATAACATTATCTAGAGTGCATTAAAGCAATCCAGGCCTGTTGAAATTAGGGTTAGGCATGTGTTGCCATGGCCAGATCCACAGAGCACGGATGTCAGAGGGTCAGGACCAATGACACTCCTGGCTGCTAAAGTTTGAAAACAAGTCAAGTAAAGTCCAGACAAGGTGGAAATAAATCTCAACCATCCAACAAAAGAACAGTAACAGAGTACCATCGAGCATAAGATCATGTTCTTGCACATTACGATTTGTAAATTTGTGCTGAGTTGTGCAGACCACAACACTGTGGCCTATTTAACAAGCCATGATTTAGTCTTGCATGAGAAATCAACAATTTTATGGCGGTGCCATAGAAAAAAAAAGAATCACGGTCTCTGAATCGTGGATCTCTCAGGCCTGATTGAATCCTTCTGTATCTCAAGGGCTCCCTGCTGTTGCAGCCATTAGCCAGTTCCAGGAGATTCTCTCAACGTGATCCTTAGCAGCCTTCGTGGCAGGGAGGCACCTAGGCAGGTCCATTAACGTGTGCGCGCGCGCGCCCCCCACTCTCCCGCCCAGAAAGCGGATAAAAAGTAACCGCGGGGTTGCCGGGAACTTCGTTATTAACACCAGCAATTTCCCTTCCTGCCTCCCCCGTCTTGAATTTCCCACCAGGCCGGCCTAGAGGCGACTCCCTCCCTCCTGCGCGCTCTTAACCGTCGGCGGGATCCGGGCCTCGGGAATTCCGCCACCCCTGCAGCGCTTCTTCTGCCTCCAGCCCTCCTTCCTCTCCCGCGCTTTGCTCCAGGCATGAACCCTTTATTGTGTCTGCCGCGCTCACTCCTCCCCGCTTGGCGGGGCCTCCCCTCGACCAACAGGCAGCGGCTGACCTCGTTTTGCGTCCCCCGAGAGACTCTGCTTGGACTGCGCCGCGGGGACAGCCTGATTTTCGGCCAGTCCTCCGCCTCGCCGGTCCAAGAACGGGAGCTTGGCGACTGCTCCTTCCACAACTCCTTCCCAGGGTGGTTTCCGTCCACCACCACCACCCCCAGCCCCTAGGTAGGGAGGAAGAGAGGCGTGCTCGCTCTCATCCATGCAACCTTAAGGGGCCCAGGCTGCACACTTTTGCTCTGCCTTGGCAAAACAACCCTCAAGTGGCTGCTATCCGGTGAGAAAGCTTCCCCGTCTGTCCTCAACCTGGTGCCCTCTGGGCGAGCTGGGAATATAATTCGCAGGACCTCCAGGTTTATTCTGAAAGATGGGACCCCAATGTATCTCGCAGAACTCCGCTTTGTCTTCTTCCCCCTCCTCCTCCTCCATTCTTAAGTTTAACCTCAGTTTAAGCAAGTAAACTACATTTCTAGATCCCCCCCAACCAGTCACAAACCAATCCCGCCGGCTGCGTTCAACAGGCCCGCATTAAAGTTTGATCGGCCAGCCGTACGGTATATTCGCATGTACATTCGCCTCCATTCGTGAAAAAGAACCCCTTCGCCCCCGGAATTAGGCGCAGCCGGGAGCAGCCTTTGCGCGGGGCTTGCGAAACTCATTGAGCCACCCCGTTTCCCTCTGCGGACGCCTTAATTCCCCTTTTGTTAACTATTCCCTCAGGACTCCCGCTCCCTGCCTTCCAGGCCAACTGGGGCCGCCGCCTCTCCTCGCTAAGGCTTCCCTCTGTGTCTGGGCGCGCCCCAGGTTCCCTGAGGGCAGCCCTCTCTCTCCAGCGGGAAAACACCGGAGCGCCCGGCTGCCTCGGCACTTGCCCGAACGGTCCAGCGCTGCCCAGCAGAGAGCCCTCCTTTTACGCGGATCCACCTCCGGCCTCTTCCGCGTCCTGCCCGCCCCCTCCCTCGCCTTTCGGTGGGGAGATCCCTCTCCCGCTCTCCGGGTCGGCTCTTCCGTGGGGCTCCCGCCCCTTTTCGCTTTCCGAGCCCTCCCTTCATCTCGTCCCGCCGCCGACCCTCATCGCTTTAATCTTGGTGGGCCCGGGAGGGAAGGCGGGGGACGTCAGTGCCGAGTGGGCTGGTCCAGGGCAGGGCAAGGCAAGGCAGGGCAGAGCGAGGCAGCCTCGCTTTACACGGCTCCTTCCCTCCCGCGGGAAGCAGCAGCCGCCCTTCTGGACTGGCCGTGCCGAGGCCTGGCGGAGAAGAGGCGCGGGACCGAGGTGACCCGAAGGGCTCCGCGGAGACGCGCTTAGAGGCGCTTTCTTCCCGGCTCTGGGAATTGACTGGCTGGGAGGGAGGCTGCGAGCAGCGGCGTGGACGGCGGGTAAGTCGAGAAGGGGAAGCCAGCTGTGCAGCCGTTTCCATTCATTGTATCGAGGGGAATTGGGGAGCGAGGAGGAACGGAGACTGCGGGCGGCTTTTGCTTAGTCAACTTTCCTCCGGGTAATTCAACTTCGAATGGGGGACGAGGTGCGGGGTGGGATCGATTCTGCTTCGCTTGGGTGACTTGCAAACGGGTATCACGCCGGGTAACCTAAGAGCATGCAGGTTGCTCCCGCAGGAGGAATCACAGGCAGACGCCTCTTAGAGAAAGTGAGTTTGCCCATTGATTTCAACGGGGGGATTCGTTTCTGAGGAAACCCCGCGTAGTATTGCAGTCTGAGAAGTTCTGTTTTAACACGGACCCAAATTCCAGCCTTCCGGGTATTTAGATGACCGGGTGGGAACAAGAGAGGAAAAAGGCAACGAAATTACGCAGCCTTCTCCGGCTGATTACGTATCGGAGCAGTTGGAGAGAAAAGCTGGGATCCTGCTAAGGGGTTTGGCAGTTGGTGATCGCAGGAACCGACAGGGAATACACACCATAAACTCACATGCAGTCTCTGCAACCCAAACCAACTTTACTCTTTACGATTTTCCGCCTCTGCGGAATAAGCCCCTGAGCCCCAAACCTAGCAGCTGTAACCGAGCTGGCTTTCTAAGGTGCTGGGACTGCGCCGTCTTGTACCAACCCGGTTCTTCTCCCAGGCGGCGCGTTTGCTCTTGCAGAAGCCGTTTCCTCCCATCTGCCTGAACCCAAAGTGAGCAGGCTGATAAATCTGCCAGTCCTTTTATTGCTCGGCCTCCTGCTGTAGTTTTTCCAGCACGGAAAGGAAGCGGGGCTGCTTGCATTGTTCGTGCACGGGACCCCTTACTGGTTGGGTGACTGGCTGGGAAGGAGGCGTTTGTTTGTCTTGGTGTTTTTTGTTTTTTTTTTGCACATGCATTCTTTGGGAGTAAAGCACTTTCAGAAGCCTGGTATCCTCTCCTCTTCCTTCTCGCCTCTTTGTGTGTCAGGGAACTGTAACATTCTTGTTCCTTTTGCACACATAAATTATAAAGGGGGAAGGGGAATTACCAGACGCCTTGCATCCAAACCTTCCCAACTGCTTTTGTTTTTCCTTTTGGACTGGCTGCAATGCCCTGAAGGGGAAAACCGCAGGTCCAGGGGTTGTTCCATTGATTTGGCAGGAAAGAGGCTCTCCAGCCGCCTCCATGTAAACTTTGGGGCTTTCTTCCTTCTTTATCCTTTCCCCTCCTCCACCTTCTGTTTTCTATTTGGCCTGTACTTTTTCCTGGTTTTGAGAAAGTGGGAGACCTACTTTGACAACAGGATAATAAACAGTATAATTATTACAGGAAAAACGTTGGCTTATAGAATAGGTTTGGGGATGCTGTGTTGCACATGAAGCCAAATAAGGAATTGTAGAACAAGAGCTTTATAACTGCAGCGTTTTGTTTTACACTGTTTGCTTGTAGTTTGATTTGGTGCAGATCTTACCCATATCTTTACAACTTCTTCAAGGACACTAAAGTGTCTTTGGATTGACAACTGGCCTTTAGAAAGCATCGAGTACCTGCTATGCACTTAATTTGATCATTAACCTTTTTTTCCTAAGCAGAAGTAGCCATGAATAGACCAGTCCTGGTTGAAGCTGTAGCTTATAGTGTATCAGTTATTTAGTGTTTCTATTACTTGTTAACTTTTATTACTTCAAGCAGTATAACTGTTCAAACCAACTTCTACTTCCTGACCTTGTTACAACTGTATTTTTGGAACTGTATGATGGAAGAGGGACAGCCTGTCTTGGATCCTTTCTTCTGCATTGTGCTACTGTTGTTTTCTAGACTTTTAATATATATCAATTTGCCAGCTGTGTCAGGAAGGGAAATGGAGAAAGATAGCACAATTAATAGTTGTTGTTCAGTACAAATTTAGAAAGATCAGTTATGACCCCTAGAAAAAATGTATTTCCAAGTTGGGAAAATTGGACTGCTGTCAAGTAAAACAGTGGCATTAAGTGTTAACTGACACATTGGAAAAACGCTTTGTTTGTATTTTTATATCAATTTTCTGAATTGTTTATTATGTTATACTTGTATTTTTCTGAATGGTGGAATGTATTGCCCATTGCATACAATTTATTTTCTCAGAGAAGAATGCACGAAATGGATATCTTAGACTCAAAATGTATATTTGCAAAAATTATTTGCCAAATTCCATATAAAATATATTAAATGGAGAAGTATTATATACTCCTCTCTCTCTCTCTCCCTCTCTCTCTCTCTCACTCCCTCCCTCTCTCTCTCTCCCATCCCCCCACCCCAACCAAATTGATCACTGCACTGGTCAAAATGTTAAAAATTTAGAAGTTATGGCTCCAAATAGGATCTTTAGACTTCCTTTTGTGCTCAGTGAAAAACACTTATATATTCCTGTAGCATGCACAAACAAATTATTGTACAATCGTGTTAAATGATATGAGCATTCCAGAATTGCACCAGACCAGACCTTTAGTCTTCTGGATGACCATGAAGATCTGTTTTTTCCATAAGCGTTGGGCTAGGATGAGGGTTCAACATGGGGGATGGTCTGGTGGCTGGGATGGGAGACTATTTTTGTTTTTCTCTTTGTTTCTTTGGAAAGTTGCTCATAATCATAATATGAGATAGACAGTCATCTAAATTCTGTACATAAATAAATACATATAGCACATTGACTTTGGCCACATTTGGGATGGAAATGTGGAGAAGGGATGGAAATGTGGAGAACCATCATTAAGTAGTGTAGTTACTACATGAATTGTGCCTGATTTTACAAAAAGTTTTTTTGCTATCATTATTAAACAAATCATCTGATTGTTAAGCAAATATGGCTTCTCCTATTGACTTTGTTTGACAGAAGCCCCCTGGTAAGGTCACAAATAGTGATCACATGTCCCCAGGATGTTGCAATGTCATAATTTCATACACGTGACACTGTGATGTTTGTAAGCACGAGGACCAGTCATAAGTCACTTTTTGAGATCTGTTACAGGGGTCACTATGCAGATGCTTTGAGTGGTCACTAAGTAAATGCTTGTAAGTTGAGGATTTCCTGTGTGTCATGAGTGCTGAGTCACCTTTGTTTTCATCCACAAACCTTCAGATCCACTTCCTTGGAGAGTGAAGGGGCATTTGTAGAATATGCCCCAATGCAACTGCCAAAAGAACCGTGCCTCACCTGATTTTATTGACAACACTGTGATGGGCTTTTATCAAAGTTTATTCAGATATCTTTTCAGCTGCTCAGATCTAAATCAGAAACACTCATAATGCAAAACATGTGATCTTCCAGTTAGTATTATCTGTCTCTGCATGAGCTTTCCAGTAACTTTGAAATTTCCTTTATGTTCTGCTGTGGTAACATTCCATTTATGCAATGAGTAAAAATGTTCCGGGTTGTATTTTCTTAGGTAGGTCATGAAATAAAAGAATTGCCTATTAGTCACTAGCATATTATTGGTACCATAGTAACTAATGGATGTTGGTTAATCTCAGAATTGAAGTACATTGAGCCTGGTCAGAACTTAGATGAGATATTGCTTCAAAATTTGAGGTTAGCTTGACAGGAAGAGATCCTGGAAGTCTAAGGACTTTCACCATAACATATGTAAACTCAATGTTTGGAAGCTAGTCTAATAAAGAAACTATCATTTAAAGCAGGCATGTCCAAGCCATGGCCCACAGGCTGCATACAGCCTTGACCAGCTAGTAATGTGGCCCCACAAGATCTTAAGCTTTTATTGATTGATTGATTGATTGATTGATTGGTTCGATCCATATGCCGTCCTTCTCTGGAGACTCAGGGCGGCTTACAATGCGTTAAGCAATAGCCTTCATGCTTTTGTATATACCTGCTTAGTAGGGCTTTCAGACCCCCCTAAGCGGTGTTCTTTTTTATACAAAGTTAGCTTATTGCCCCCACAATCCGGGTCCTCATTTTACCTACCTCGGAAGGATGGAAGGCTGAGTCAACCTTGAGCCTGGTGAGATTTGCACTCGCAGCAATTGCAGGCAGCTGGCAGCTAAGTGTTACTTAACAGCACTTTAGTCCGCTGCTCCACCAAGGCGTTTAACATTATTATGTGATTTTATATTTTCTTATTATTATTTAGCACATGATGAGAATATGACAGAAGTGAAATAAACATATACAGTATACACAGTCCATGTAATTATAAGTAAAGCTTCTAGGCAGTTTGGCAGTGGCGTCATAACTGAATGTCCAATTCAGCTATCTAGGTGATCGCCTCTGGCGTTGCTTCATGTAGATCTTCTAGGGAACAAGCAAACAGACATCTTGGGCAATTTTGCACAAAATGTTTAATAGTTTGCATATCAGCACCATAATCACAACAAGAGGAATCTTTCCATTCCCACTGATACAACTTCTTCCAGTATCACAACTAGTTCTGTACAATTTCAACAAGACAAAGCGAGGCGGGTCAAAAGCAGGTGGTTTGGTAGAGGATTTTATACCGTGTTTCTATAAAAATAAGCCCTCCCTTGATTTTACACATACGCCCGATACGCCCTACCCCAAAATATGCAAAATAACTTGAGAGTTCACAAGGTTGATACTATAAATTATAAGTAATATAAATTATAAATAAATTATTTACTTTCTGTTGCCCAAGATAATTCCTCTTAATTCAAAGCCAAAAGATTGGACATCCATGATCTAAAAGTCCACAATTGTACTGATGCTCTCCATTAAAGACTTAAGTCACATTACTTATCAAATTGAATATTGAATTGTTCAAGTCAAAACCTGCTCCCTTTGAATTTCAAAATACAGATTTGAAACAAATATTTGAATTTTAAATGTGTCTTAGATCTTCAAATCCTTTTTTCTTTATGAGTGTACTAGTATAGTAATAGCAATAGCATTTGGACTTATATACCGCTTTACAGTGCTTTACAGCCCTCTCTAAGTGGTTTACAGAGTCCGCATATTGCCCC